CAGCCCTGAGACTCTCAGGGAGTGGGGAGTGTGCCCCAGAGTCCAAAACACAGCAGCCAGGAATGTGATGGGAGTGTCCCACCTCATCTCACCTGGGACTGGACAGTGCCCCGGAGCCCCAGCACCAAGGCCAGCAGAAGAGTTTTGCCCAAAGCTCGTGCCAGCAGCTGAACACCAACCCTCCCTACTGACCACAGCCTTGAGGACCCCCATGTCCGTACCCATGAGATGGATCAAACACAACCTCACTTGCTCTGAGGTTCACCCAGGAAAGCAGAGCCAGGGGAGGCCAGATGCTGGTGAACAGGGCTGGGTCCAGGGCTGGCCCAGCTGTCTGGATCCCAAACCCTTTGGGATGCCCTGCTGGGAGTTTAGCATCATTTCAGCCTCAGAGACTCCCCTTCCCAAAGGCCTTTGCAGGTCCCCCCTGGGAACCACCTGAGCTTCCTCTGGGGTGGCCCCAAGGGAATCAGGAGCTTCGCAGGCCCCAGGATCACCAGAGCTATTCGCCGAGTCCCTTCTCGAGCTTGAGTTGCTGCTCTTTCGGACAGCAGCCCTGGCACGTCCCCAGGCTCCCACAGAGCAGGGATGACCTGCCCCATCCCTCCTTCCCCAGGCACTGCTGAGCTGCAAATACACACGCGCACTCCTGGACAGCCCAGGTGAGCATGGCAGCCAAACCCAAGGTGCAGAGCTCTCCCTCAGCAGCACTCCTAAAAATACACACACTGCTATGGTTTTGGCATCCTCCCATCTCTGTGCTCAGGTGCTGGCTGCTGCAGGACAGATGAGATGCTGGTGATTTGCAGGGTGGAAGCCAAGCCACGCATCTCCCTTTTTTTTGAGTGGCACCGCAGAGCCAGGAGCCAGCGCTGCTGCCGAAGAGCCGGCCCTGCCTGATTAACTACAGAGAAGTAGTTAAAGTTGGTGAGAGCTCCTTAGCAACAGCCACCGTCTCTGCAGGCTGCTGATGGAGAAGAAAGGCCAGAGGAAAATACATGCAGGGAAGATGGAGGTGGAGAAGAGGAGGCTGAGAAGAATGACAAAGACACAGTGACAGCAGGTCCCAGTTGCTGATGGTGCTGGCTGGAATGGGGCCCAGGACAAAGTCACCAGGTCCTCTGGCTATGCCCAGTCCCAAATGAAGGGAACAGCCAGGATCCAGGCTCTTGGTTAAGACCTATTTCCAGCACAGACCAGGGGTGTCTGGTCCTATTCTCACCAAGAGTTAACATTCCCTTCCCCAGAGCTAACTGCGTGGCTGAAGTTACACTTTCACCCATCCTCAAGGCTTCCCAGGCTGAGCGCCACCACACCGTCCCCAAGGGCTTCCCCATCCCTTGGGGTGTCACAGGCTCAGATGAGACCCATAAACGATGCTCAGGAGGGCAGTGTTGTCATCTCCCTGTCCCCATAGCTGCAGCAGCCAGCTGCCCCCCAGTAAGCCATGCAGGGGGAACACCACACATGTGGGACAGTTTATTTTTCCATTAAAAAAAAAAAGATAACAACTTCACCATCTCCTAACAGATATTACAATCATCAACACCACAACGTACAGACTAAATACCGATCTGTCACAATATTCCTGTCCTGGAGCAGGAGGGATGGAGGCAGCAGGCTGGGATGGGGGGTGGAAGGAGACAGAAATGTTTCTTGTGGCCTCAGAGCCTTGCCAGGAGGCTCAGCAGGTACAGAACCCAGCCACACCTCTCCACAGCCCCAACCCAGGACCCACCGAGTTCCCACAGTAGTGCCACACACCAGGACATGTCTTTGACATCCACAGTCGTGACCTTGCCCCAGGGCAGCCCACAGAGGAGTCTGGAAGCCCCTGCCTTTTATTTGGGACCCAAGGCATCACCTCAATATCCAGGAGAGTCAGAAACTCCACAAAGCATCCAAGATGCTGCTGGGGCAGTTGTGGACGTCACCCACTTGTTCTGCCAGCTCACACAGGTTATGGGGTGGAAGGTGGCTTCTGGGATCAGACACTGGCCACATCCAGGGGTGGCCTTGGACACTTCTTCTCTCCCCTAAAGTCCCCTGACCAGCCTTGGTTGTTCCCAGCAGGAAAAGCAGAGGTGGAAAAGCTAAAGCCAGGCAGAAGCCAAGGCAGCGAGCCCTCGTGGAGGGTGCAGCACCCTGCCTGAGCTTCCCAGCACCCTGGGCCAGCCCTGGCCCCTCTGGGCAGCTTTGTAGGGAATTGCCAGTGAAGGAGAGACCAGGGCCAGGACTTAGGACTTTTCAGCCTCCCTGGAGACATCACAAGTGAGGGGGGGGAATCAGCAGAAAGGGGAAAGAGCTGGTTTCAGTTAGGATCAGGGAATGGGCCAGGCAGAACAGTGGGGGAAAGCAGGGAGGAGGCAGCAGGGGTGGGGGAGCAGTTGGCCTTGGGGAGCCAGGATGCTTGCCACCAGATGCAGGGAGTCCAGCTCCAGGATGGGAGAGGGTTGATTTGGGGGTAACCTCAAGCTGGCAATACCCAGAGCAGGCTCTACCCATCAAGGGAGAGCTACAGCCCATGGACTGTGGGCTGCTCAGGATGCAGCCAAGAGCAGAGGCAGGTGGGTAGCAGGAGGAATGGAGTGTGACTCGTGCCTGGGGCCAAGCGAGCACGGGGGGACTCAACAGTAATTAAGGATGGAAACCATCACAAGGAGCAGAGTTTGGCTACAGCCAGTCCAGCAATGAGCCCCCAGGGCTCTATTTCTGCATGTCACACTGCAGGAGGAGAACGATGGAGGGGTCGCTCTTTGCTGCCTCCTTGAACTCCTCCAGGGAGATCTGGTCATCCTTGTCCTTGTCCATCTTTGTGAAGATCTTGTCAACACGTTGCTGGGGCGTCAGCCCATCTTGGTTCATCCTCATCATGATCACAGTCCCCACCATCTTGTAAATGGCCTGGAGCAAGAAGAGAAGCAAAGTACCAGAGAGGGAATGTTGGATGAACAGAAGGTCCCAGGACAAGGCAGGGGACAGGATTGCTGCTCTGCTGGGACCCAGTTAGCTGCTGGCATGAGCTATGCTGCTGCACGGCTACAATCAGGTGCACACCAGGTACCTTTCAGACAAGGCTCTGGGCAGGAAAACTCATTCCTTGGTGCCAGAAGGGACCCAATAGCTGTGAAAAGCCTGGAAAAAAGCAAGTTACACTTGCTGATTTTAAGCATCAGTACCTCAATGATCTCCAGCATCTCTAAGCGTGTGATCTTCCCATCCCCATCCAGGTCGTACATCTCAAAGGCCCAGTTGAGCTTCTGCTCAAAGGTGCCCCTGGAGGTGACAGACAGGGCACAGATGAACTCCCTGAAGTCGATGGTCCCATCACCATTCTTGTCAAAGGTGCGGAAAGCGTGCTGGGCAAACTTGGAGGCATCTCCGTAGGGGAAGAACTGCAGGGAGGAGAGAAGAGAGAGATCCAAATGGGGAGGGGGAGCTCGGCGTGGAGGCTGCACCCAAAGCAGCACCCTTGCCCCAGCAGGAGCAGGGTGCTCCAGCCCTGCAGGCAGCACTCGAGCCCTCAGCTGGAACCCACCTTGATGTAGAGCTGCTGGAATTCCTCCAGGTTGAGGATGCCAGTGGGACAGTCCTTGAGGAAGCCCTTGTACCACTGCTTCAGCTCCTGCTCACTGAATTCTGTGCTCCTCACCAGGTCATCCAGCATCTCTGGGGCCAGCTTGCTGCTGTGCTTGCCCATGGCTGGCCCTGGGAGGGAAAATACACAGGTCCTACACACCAGGCACAAGGAGGGCTGGTGCTCCCCGGCCCTCCTCCACCCCAGCAGCTGGCCAACTCCACTTGCTTCTTCCCACACTAGAGCTGATGAGCGTCTGTGCACCGTCAAATGCTGGGACAGTGACTGTGGCACTGAGGACAGGCGCAATGCTTGTGCTCAGCTGTGGCCCTTGCTGCTGGAGATGTGCAGGAGCTGGCCTTGGGGCAGCCCACCAGTGCAGCCAGCAGCATCGCCTTCAGTCCCCTCCATCTCCTAGGCTGGCTCCCTTTGTGCTGCAGAAAAACACTCAAAAAGCAACCAAAGACCCAGAACTCGCTTTACTAGACCATGATATCCAGCTGCCCTCTGTAAGGATGGGACAAAAGAGGCAACACAAGTCTGCCATTAAAGCAGGGAAAAACCTCACCAGCACCATCTGACTTGCAGCATCCAGCCAGAAACAGCAATGCCCAACCCGCTCCTGGCTAGCCCTTGGTGAGGATGGGGTCTGTGACCAGGCACCTCTCTGCCGCAGGGCTGCCCGCAGCCCAGTGCGCTGGAGTGCTGGCAAGCCCGCGGCTGCGTGGGCAGGACGCAGAGCTGCTCTGATACACGCCGTGCCCGTTCCCACGCAGCCTTGGCTGCCAGCGCCGCTCAGCCCGAGCGGCAGATGGTTTGCTGAGAGCTCCTGGAGCTTCTCGCTCCATAAAGTTGAGTAGAAGTTCACCTGGAGCCCAACAGAACACCATCTCCTTTCCAAGCATCTGATTTCCTGGCCATGTGGGCTTGGGGGACATTGGGGTACCCTGGGATGGGCGCAAGCCTCCCCCTGCCGCAACGTGGGGCTCCTCGTGCTCCCAGCCAGCCCCGCTCCCAGCTAATCCCACAGGCAGAGGCTGCTTCCTGCCCCATCATCCCACGAGCATCTGTCACCGTCTGCCACGGCGGCACTTAACCCACCACCCCTCGGCAGCCAGAGCCGAGGAAACATCCGGACGCCCACGAAGCACGACACTTCCCCAGCAATCCTAAGCTCAGCTGCGGAGCTACATGAGCCCTCCTGGCACCGCAGCC